AGCACAAGGAGATACAAATGGAGCACGAGTTAATTAACTGAATACGAGAAGCTGCTTGATAAGAGTGGATAATAAGGAGATTACACAGGCACTAACTAGTTTGGAGTTAACCATTCAAATGTTTGGCGTTGTATGGTTTACTTATAAACCCCAATATTCGAGGTTATGAGAACAGGTTGACATTTCGAAATAGGTTCCGTCATTCAACGATTCCTGTTGAATTTACTGTTTGTCCTTGTCTATCTTATTGTCACTCTCTATTTATCCATGGTTACCGGAATTTTAAATAATTGCGAAGCAACAGGTATTTGCGCAATGTTAATTAGGCAGATTACCTTGAAAAATATTGTTGCCGTATTTCTGATATAGTTTTTTCCAAATTGCTCAGTTTTTAATAGCAATTAATTTCTTTTACTAGTTTTTCTGTACTCCTATAACACCGCCAGACAACACCCCCAGGTGAATGACGCCAATTTCGAATCACCCTGTATATTAAATTTAATTTGCAAAAGCAAATATGTTTCGAGTAAGCCAAAACTGTAATATCTGAGAGCGTTTAATCCGGAAATTTTGCTTTAAAAGCTATGGAGCAAAGATCAAGAACAACCCTAGACAACAATCGAGGTAATCTTGGTAATCACTCTAAAACGAAACAAGAGATTTCACTGATGATAAATTTACATTGCGTAACATGACTTGTATAATGTCTTAGTGACTTGGTTGACAGTATAAACAGTTCTGAATTTCTCAGCTTGACATAATGGCACAGTCTTGTTGTTTAATAGTTACTCGTACATATGCAGTTGCATTTTGTCGTTAAATGTAAACCCGCAATTTTCTTGTTTTACTGCAAGCTTATCAGTCTGTTTGTTATGTCCGTTTGGATAGTCATTTTACTGTTAACTTGATCCGGTTCAAATTACCTCGACTTTACATTCAACTAAATGGCCTATTAACAATGCTTTGACGAATATTCTCTTGTAATCTTCAGAGAGTTTTGGACGCTCAGAATTATTACCCTCTAGCTAAGATTCGACCCCAGGACAGGCGAGAAAATGTGACCTAAATTTGTCTTGTTTTAATTATTAAAGCCAACTTTAGCATGCTAAACTAGATTGTTTGGCATGCGCACAAGTGTATGTGAACTCCACAAAATTAGAACCAATTTTTACAGATTGGAGTAGAAAGGAGAGTCCTCATAATCACCATTTCTAGTTTGAACTGTCACGAAGTGCCGTTCGAATACGCTATAATATTTCAATTACTATCGCATTTTCCGTCTTGATCAGTATGATTAGGCTAGTTATTTGCATGATTTCTTAACACAATACATGCATTTTTGCCTCTGTAAGGTTCCTTTGAAGGGTTACATCGAATTTATCGTTACCCATGATAGCATTGAACGCATCACGACTGCGTCTGAGCAATCAGGAAACTTTCTAGGAACATTCAGATGAAAAATACTATATCTTAAACCCTTTTTATCGTAAGGTATTTCTAACGTTTTTGGAGCTACCAATAATATTATTTTGGGATACTAAATTTCCTGCTCAGCTGAACAGCTCTTAAACACGCTGCAATTTAGTTCAGTTTCGTCGATATTTAATTCTAAAGCCGGCTATTGCATGGGCGACTTAGCGCTTCTCTCAATTGTTACCGAGACTGGTCTTATCGGTATCTTCATAACTATTCTAGTTTATTTAATTCCAATAATACGCGTAAATATGCCGTATGAGCCATCATCTTTGCATGATTTTATGTTCATGCTTAATATCCATAGTTGAACAAATTTAATAAATTATCGTCTGTCGCATAGAAATACATTATTGGTTTCACATTCGGGCACTGAATATGTCCCTCTTCCATCCAATTTTGGGAGGAAAGGTTTTTATAAAAAAATGAACACATCGTTTACTGAACATAAATTGTGCGTCATCTTGATATAAAGTTTCATATGAGTTTGCCCTGAAAGATCCCAGATCTGATATGGATATCATGCGCTTCACTATATTTACCGAAAATCCAATGTCGAACAAATACAATTTTTTTATATAAAATAAAATAATTTTTTTGGTAAAATCAATCCAATATGCAAGGAGCAAATGAACAAAAAGAAAAAGTCGAACCTGAACCATATGAATATGATTAGATCCTTTTGTAGTCTATGAAATATAAACCCAGCACAAGGGGGTGAACAACCATGATGAAATGGTTGGCCATGACATGACATTAGTATATACTATTAAGAGAGAATTGAAAATTCGATTCATAACAACATGTCATAATAACATGTGTGAGGAAATTCGGGCAGTTTTGACCCAGAAACATTTAGGTGCAAGATTAGGCCAAAATATTATGTTTTGCGTCCCGTTTTTCTCATTTCTCGGAAACAAAATGAGCAAGATCGCTCATTTTTACATCATTCCAGAGAGAACTAAATGGACTTTTTATAAAGCGAACAATCGATAAGGAAATGTTGGCAGTTTTCTCAAAGAAGTCTTGATTTCAAGACGGTTTGGACTTGCGTGTTTTTTTCTTGAGTTGCAAAATAGACTCAAACATGACGTTGCTTTTTTTCGAAGAAGAAACAGAATTAGTTTTGACATCGTTCGATAGATAATGCGATTCAGGTATAACAACATGAGTGAGGAAACTCGGGTAGTTTTGACCCAGAAAGTGAAATTTGAATATCATACATTGAACCATATCTCGGTTTTTCCAGTTCTCCAATAAAAACCGTCAGTTTACATATGGGGCCATTAACGTAAACGCCTTGATAGTAGACAATACACATGGGGGTAATACATTTTCCTGAACAATTTGATTGAAGGCAATCGGTTTAGGAATACATAGACACACCTGCATATAAGCATTGATTAGTCGAAAGAAGCAAATGTTATTTGTAAATGTGTTTCGTAAACACAATTTTAATTATCATTACTATTACGAATTATGCGAAAACCGACGTTAGGTTGACTTTTTTGTTCTAGGGGAAAGGCCAGCTGCAATGCAAACAGGATCTGCTAGACTCTCGAAAAGCTCCCTCAACATTGTGGCTCTTTTAGTAATATCCTACATCTATCAGATGTGCACCTACAACCAGTGTCCTAGTTTAGGTGCTGTGAGGTAGCTATTTTGTCTTTTCTTTAATTTAAACCTGTAAATATAATTTCCATTGTTACGTGAAAACAAGAATTAAAAATCATTGTTGTCTGTATTGTTCAAAAATGGAAATTTTTTTGAGAACATGTGTGTTGTTATCATCTCATCATTACTTGCGATGATAACTAAATATAACGTTGCCTATAATACAAGACCGTAAATCAATGATTTAATTAATCAAATTATGGCACCTGTAAAATGTGACGGTCACAATCGAATTAAAATTAAGCAACTGTAAAAACTGCATAAAGATATGCAAAGTTGTACCTACATTTATTAAGCTTTGGCCGATATTTACAAAGTTGAAATGACCTTTTTCATAGTTTTAACACCACATACAGCCGAAAGGCCAGGTACGATAGCTAAGCTAAGAAAACCGTACTAAGTACCATTCATGTTAATGTAAGTAAGCACAATGTATATTTATCAGAATTTTTTTAGTATCCAAAAAGTGCTTACGAAATTAATAAACTACAACGAATTAATTTAAATGCGCTAGGTACAATAGAAAGTGAAATTGAACGTTCACATCAGCACATTCGGCCAAAATTGTACAATAGATATCTGAAATGCTATATCGTCTGGCTTAAGCACGTTACAATTGTGACATGTGAAGCGAAAAAACTTCGAAACTTTGATGATATTGGTAGTTATTAAGTGTAAATATTTGCATATTATTAGGATACATGTATAGTGTCAAAACATTTGCTTCACTGCTTTTCGACTTAATTTTAACTTTTCCTTATGCTAAGTATGCTAATATAATACAAATGATATTTGTCAGACTGGCAGACGTCAAAGCTCAAACAGTATAAATCAATTTAATAAAGTTAAAACATGATATATACTCGTCTCAACATTCGCAATCTGAAAGTGGTGCGTTTTAGGTATATTTTATTTCCTGGACTTATGGAATAATAAAAATATCAAAATTCTATCAAAAACCTGCAGAATGTGCCAATTTCAACTTTGCGAATATTGGGCACAATTCCTAACAGTGTCCCATCAAACATGTATAGTTTTTAAGTAAATTACTGATCTACAGTGTACATAAGAAATTCATCACGAGTAATTGCAAAGTAGAATACTTATTCTGTCCGATTTTGTTAAGTTTTTTGTATTGATAGTTCTAATAAATGTTTTAAAAATGTAATTATGTATTAGCGGTTTAAAATATCTTCAAAAGGTGTGTAGTATCCATGTAATTCAATAAAAACCATGAAATTTTACTGATAAATAGACGAAATATAAAAATGGCAAAGTTCATGAATTTATGTTATTCTCCTCATGGATAAAATTTAGACCAACTTATTTTATACGACATCTAAAGTCCATCTGCTAATAAAATCTCAATATTTTACTATCGTTTCTCTATGTTAAAGTTGGGCAATGTAGTGCAAATGTTGTTCTTCAACTGTTCCAATTAGGAAGCTTATATTGCAGGTTTAAATATATTACATATTCAAGAACAACGATTTTGACCTTAGCCTTAAACTTAACAAGGTAAATGTTTCGTTAGCTTCGCCTGTTGATTGCCGAGTCGTTTAGAAGATGAGTAACTACAAGTACCACTCCCACGCATTACACAATGCATTTACTGTCAGTACTTTCTGATTCTGGTTGAAGCAATTGGGTCTTTCTTCAATCACCGACATTTCGCGAGTAGGTACTTGTATTGTTATTATGACTTGGCAGGTCTGACCCAGATTATCAGTCTGGTCAACGTACTACTTGGCCAATGCCTGTTCAATCAAATATACTTAGTCGAATTTTGCCTCTTTTTACTTTTAATATATAATTATAAGGTTTTTGGAAACGTTCGAGGCGATATCCCTAAATAGCAGATTATTATATTAAAATATAAACTGAATTAGGAGCGGTTAGTAGAGCAAACAAAAACAATTTGATGTAAGTTAATCTCTGAAAAAATTAAAACAGTACAATCTCCGGAAGTTTACCGAATTGCTCTTGCATTTAATTGACCATAATTTAATATCATATAATCATAAACGACAAATCGACACAATACTTGTTAATTCTGAATTTTCGTGTGTAAATTTGCAGGTTTGCATTTTTACATATTATATTAACTTTCAAAAAGCGATCTTTATAAATAATAGTTTTTTTTATTTTATATAAGAGGGTTCAAAAATAAAGTAAAAAACAGCAAGTCAGACTTGAACAGAGGTTTAGTTAACTATTTTCCTGAATTCAGCTAAGTTTATATACAGGGTGATTTACGTGGACAGTGCATTAGAAATTTTCCAACTTGCAGTTGTTTTAGAGACTTCAAAATTGTTTTCCAGTCATAACGAGTCGGGCCGAGTGTACGAAAGTTATAACATAACTTTCTTATTTTAAATTCAAACCTTTAATTTCTGTAGAATGGTCGGATTGGCCGTCCATGGCGAGTACAGTTTTTCATATGTGTCAATTGTTTCAGAAAAAAATGTCATTACAGATGTTTACAGAACAAGCTATATCTAAGGAACTAAGGAATTTGGTAGGTAGTTAAGGCTTAAGGCCTAAGTTAACTCCCCAGATGACACTAAGGATCTACTTTCCATAAACAAATCAGATCAGGCGCGCAAAAAATGCTCAATGAAAACCGGATATTTTCGGAAAGTGGTAAATTTTTGGACAATCCAGCAGGTTTTTTTCCTGCATCGTCGGTTTTAGGCGAGAGTGTTGTACTTTAAGACGTTTTTTAATTAGTTTTTTAGACCACTTTTTAAATACATTACTTTAACTAAAGCCATTATGGGATCTTGCCGTTCTCCCGATATTTCAAAAAACATAACTTCTTCAGAAGTTTCACCATCAATAGCAGGGGAGTCAAACACTTTTCCTTAATGAAAGTTTGGCCAGATCGTCTTCGTTTGATTTATGTAGACCGTGCATTAGAAGTTTTCCAAAACACAATTTCTATTAGAAATTAATATCCAATGCCCCACTGTGCGTCGATGCAACGATGTAACTTTTTTATGACCTCAGCCAGAGCGCAATCCTGGATTCGCCACTGGTTCTTTTGATATAGCATAGATACTGTAGCAACTGATCACGATATGCCGATTCGATTATGAATTATTAAAAATATTAATAAATTTAAGTGAAAATGGCATTTACTCTATTTTTATTAATGTGGACATTGCAGTATATTTACATCCATTGGTATCCGGAATCCTCATACAGAGGACCGGATAGGTTTATTTGTTGCTATTGTTAATTGCTAAAACCTTGCAAAATTTGTCAAATAACCCAAGGAATACATGCCCGTGGCTAAGTTTCGAGTTTATATTAAGTATTAATCTGTTGAATAAATTCTATCAACTGCAGGGAGTTTTTACAATTTAATCCCACTGTGAGATATATTGACGGTTCTTTAAGAAATTTAAACGCATCAACCACTAATCTAAAGGCTTTAAAAAAATGACAAACAATTTTTATTTCATTTTTACCTACTGCAGTAGGTACGTATTGAAATGCGTGGATAAAAAATCAGCATATTCCTGCAAAGAAATACCAAAATATAAATGAGTGCCAAATACTGGTTCTTCAGATTATATACCGTACCTACCGTATAAGCAAAACCGATATATTGAGCACGAATACCCATAGTGGCCCAAGAGCTTTGAACTAACGCGGTCATATCAGAATACGTACCAACATCGGTATGGTGGATACCAAACAACACCGATCGCACCAGAAGAACCCAGCAGCAATTAGCAACGGTAAATTTGTGTTAAAGTGATTCTTCGCGCATATACATGAATGAACTAAAGTGCCTGAGGCCCAGTTAGTATAGCAATGCATAGTTAATATTTCGTGCGTATTTGACAGTGACTGTTTGTGGCAGAGGTACCTAGCCAAGGACCCCATAATGTCTAGGACCAGAACCTGTAGCATTCTATTCTTGTTTTTGCTATTTCTTATTCGGGGTACCACCGGCCAGGATGAGTCCCTAGCTGGCAGTTTCTTGTCAGGTACGTTTCATCTTGTGTCAAAACTTTACTGCTTTTCTTATTGCGTACAAAGAAAGTATCTACTCGACATCGCATTTTTCTTCATTTGGCGAACAACGGTATTCGATGGTACTGTTATAAAATAAATGTGTAATAATCGCTTTCCAAATGTCGCATCTTTGCTTTTTTTTCACCGAGTCTATTAACTCGGAATATATAGATTGTCAAACAGAGATCACATATGAAAATAAAAGCAAAATAAATAGGTGACTGTTACAACTGGACTCGATGTTAATTGTTTGCGCTTTTGTTGTCCTACAAATTTGATTTGTACAAAAATGAAAGTTATTGCCATCAACCGAGCAAGTGTTGGTCAAAGATTGAGCGCCTTGCTAAAACCAACATTAGAACTTTAGATGAGCCCGCGTTTTGATGAACTCGCAAGTTTATTACTCAAGCTAATCGAATGGAAATTAGTTAACAAAGTGTTTCCACCACCATCAGTGAAGTGGAATATGAAATATGTAGTTTATTTTAAGGGCGACAATCACTATTTTACAATTGAACAAACTTTTCAATTGTTGTATCTAGATATGTATTTTCCCGCATTATGTGAGTTATGGTTGTAAAATCAATGACAGCGACCTAAATCAGTACAGATATTTTCGAAACCACTACTATGAATAAAATGGCATGGCTTTTACCATTAAGTACTGTAAACGCAGTTTATATTAACTAGCTGAAACTGAATATTTAATGAGCATATAATAAATAAGTATTCACTTTTCAAACTATTGGTCTACACAGAAATCCTGCTTACACAAGAAATTGCAAGTGGGATCAAATAATTAAACAGTTCTAACTTGCAGGCCTTTTGGATACAATAACAACAACTGCGGATTCTAAAGACTGTCCCGGTGTTTGTGTTCACGCACTTGCAACAATTATCTGCTATGATGTATTAGACGACGTGGCATGCCCATCCTCTTCTATGAAATGTTGTGTAGATCCTCCAGCACCCAATGATACAGTTGCTTATGCAAATAGTACTGCGACGTACGAGATCACAACACTCGTTAGTACAATTCCTGCTATTGTTACTACAACAACTAAAACACCAGCACCCGCAACTGTTCCCAGTAGCACAACTACTACTCAGGTAACTATTTCGTGTACATATTTTTCTATCAAAATAATATGTTAATGTATATTTTAGACAACGCCAGGCAAACAAGCCAATTTTACAACGGAAAAAGATGATGGTAAGTGCTAATACTAAATGAAATAAAATTGCAAAGACTTGAGGATTGTAGGTGCGAAAGCATGTGCTGAAAAGCGAGGAGTTTGTGTAGCTGAAAGAGTGGCCGATTACTGCGAAGCCATCCTAAACACCTCCAGTTTATGTAAACCAGGTTTAAAGTGTTGTGTATCCAGTGACGCGTATGGAGATAAGCCTCCTTCCGATTTGATTTTTCCAAACAAAACCAAAACGAATATAACCAAAGTAGAGACTAGAACGACACCAAAGAGTACCACGCTAAGTACGACCGCAGTTACGACTCCTCAAATGGTGAAAGTAAACGTGCCATCTTCCACCAATCGACCCCAAATTATCAAGCAATGCAATGGGGAATGTGTCACTGGACTTTTTGCCTTGTTTTGTGATGATGTTGATTCCGAGGCCACTTGCCCGAATGATGGAAGCTGTTGCATCACGTCGCCGGTAAGTAGCAGCAACTTACTTCGGAGTTTTCCAGCAAACAATCTTTCCACAGCAGTACGGAAAATAACGGGATCAACTGCTTCTCGAATATATGTTTTAATTGGGAAAATTCGCCATCTAATCTATTTGTTTTTTTGTTGACAATGCTTTAAGGAATATTTTAATCACTTGTCACTATATTAGTTTCACTCCAGTAGAAAATACCATACTAGAAGGGCTGGGTTTGAATGGCGCGGTGCGGGATGATCCCCTTTTAACTGACACCTTGTTTAATCAGTCCTTTTCTTTATACCCTAACTATTTACTAAACATTGTGCACATGAATATACGAAGTATCAAAAAGAATTTTGATCAATTTCTGGTTTTGTATGAGCAATATAATCTCAGTTACTGTAATGTGATAATTTTGGGTGAATGTTTTCAAATACAGGGGGAACTTTATCAACTTCCAGGATATTTTGCCTATTATAATGCTGGGGATAATGGTAGAAAGGACGGGATTGCTATTTTTATAAAAACAACAATAACAGCAGTTGTTAATTACATTAAATTACCGTTATCAGGGACCAATATAGGTAGGATAGAGTTTGTTCTTGAAGGTATCACATACGGAATAACAGCTGTATACAAGCCTCCACCCATTTCGGAAATTCTTTATATTGACGATTTGAATACTTATTTTGCCGGAAGAACATCTAAAAGCATCGACATTTATATGGGTGATATTAACATCAACATCAAAGGTAAAAATAATAATTGATAAGTAAATGAATACTTATCCTTAATGGGGCAGAACGGATTTTTATCATATATAAACCTTCCCACTCGAGTTACAAAAAATTCTAACTCATGTATAGTTCATTTATTTGTGAAACAAAAACTAAGAAGTCAAGGCCTGAAACTTGGGTCATGTCGGCTGAAAAGCGATTTGACTGATCACTACCCAATTTTTCTGAACATAAATTATGAAAGAGATTTTTCTAGGGAAAAAAACAATCTGCCAGATCGTGGGGTCTGCCAGATTATGAGATGTTTAAAGAAAACATATCTATGGTAAACTGGAACGAAATCGTTAGTTGTTTCGACTCCAATGAAGCGACTAATAAATTTATAAATGTATTTGTTGATGTAAAAAAATCAGCTACAATAGTACGTAAAATTAAGTCTAAAAATAATAAAAAAATTAAAGATTGGATTAGTGACGGGTTGATCAATTCCATTAAACATAGAGATACGTTAAAGAGAGCACTTTTAAGAAATTATACTTCTGCATTAGAAGCTAAATACAAACACTACAGAAACATTTTAAATAAACTCTTAAAACAACAAAAATATCACTATTAAAAATCAAATAGAAAACAACCTAAAAAAATATATAAAATAATTAATGACGCTACCAATCTTAACCATAACAAAAAAGAAACAAATTTGTTCATAAATGACACTAATAACACCCCCTTTTGACGACAACCTAAGAATGGCTAACTTCTGCAATGAATACTTTGCAAATGTTGGAATTGAAATGGCATAAAAGATACAACCAAAAAGCAATAATACATATAAAGACAGGTCGAATGTTGCTTCCATGTATATGTATCCACCCACAGAGCAGGAAATTGCCAGATGCATAGACTCCCTGAAGAATGACTCAGCCCCTGGACTGGATGGTATTTCCACGAAATTAATTAAATTATGAAAATCAAATATTTTGGTTCCCATATCTCATATTGTAAATCTAACTTTCAAAACAGGAATATTTCCAGATTTATTCAAAAAGTCCTTAATAGTTCCAGTACACAAATCAGGCTCGAAACAGCTCATAGAAAATTATAGACCAATTGGTTTAATTAATAACTTTGCAAAACTGTTAGAAAAGTGTCCAAAGGACAGACTGGCCAACTTTTTTAAAACATTTAAAATCCTGTCGGACAAACAATTTGGGTTTGTTGAGAATTGCAGTACAGCTGATGCCATGTGCAGCCTGACATCTGAGATT